AAGAGGTGGGAAGTTCGGAACGTCCTAGAGGCTTGTTGAACGGCTTAGACCAAAATGCTGACAGTGATACGGACAATAAAGCCCAGGCGGAGGCTGTCTCAGACGGAGATGAACTGTTTCCGTGTCTCTAACATGCGTCTTCAGTGCTGTCTGTACAGTCTTAGGAACTATGGCCTGTGGTGCTGCCGGGGCTCAGAAAACGATTCCGCAAAACACGGCCCTTTGACCTGCTGAACTAAAGAAGCCGCCTCAAGGTAAGTTTCTGTGACCTCTCCCCGCCCTTACCCACACCTCACCCCCATCCTCTTACGTTCCTGAAGCACCAGCAGGGACTCTCCATGGAGCTTCCCTATCTAAGAAAGATTCTTTCCAAAAGACATGCAAATTTTCGGCCGGGCATGGTGGCTCATGCCTGTAACCCCAGCACTTTGGGAAACTGAGGTGGGTGGATCCCTTGAGTCCAAGAGTTCGAGACCAGCCTGGCCAACATGGTGAAACCCCACCTCTACTAAAAATACAAAAATTAGCTGGGTGTGGTGGTGCATTCCTGTAATCCCAGCTACTCGGGAGGCTGAGGCAGGAGAATCACGTGAACCTGGGAGGTGGAGGTTGCAGTGAACTGAGATTGCATCACTGCACTGCAGCCTGGGTAACAGAGCAAGACTCCATCTAAAAGAATAAAATAGGCCGGGCGCGGTGGCTCAAGCCTGTAATCCCAGCACTTTGGGAGGCCAAGGCGGGTGGATCACGAGGTTGAGAGATCAAGACCATCCTGGTCAACATGGTGAAACCCCGTCTCTGCTAAAAATACAAAAAATTAGCTGAGCACGGTGGCGCGTGCCTGTAATCCCAGCTACTCGGGAGGCTGAGGCAGGAGAATTGCCTGAACCCAGGAGGCGGAGGTTGCGGTGAGCTGAGATCACGCCATTGCACTCCAGCCTGGGTAACAAGAGCGAAACTCCGTCTCAAAAAAAAAAAAAAAAAAAAAAAAAAAGAATAAAATAAAATAGAAATGCAATTGTCTTAAAACCCCCTCCCCAGGAATCTCATCAAATAACCAGGAAAGATTAACCACAAGAGAAGAAACCAGGAGTCCTCACCTTGCCCTGACAGGCCTTTCATGTATTCCTCCAAGTGCAGCTCAGAGCGTTCCTTAGAGGCTTTATCCACATAACCAAACAACCTTTGTTCACAGTTCTGCCCCTCACCATCTGGCCACCTACCCCAGAGCTCATGGGAACTTTGTCCCGGATCATTGTTCTTTGGGTTCATTCGTTCCCCATGAAAACCACTTACTGGTCTACCCTTCATCTCCCCTTTCCCTATGAGGAAGGGCATATAAGCGTTCGGACCTTACTGGGTTATTGGGTAACCATCCTCTGTTGATTCCCCTGAGCTGCACATGTTTAATAAATTGTGTATGCTTTTTTTCTTATTATTAATTTGTCAATAGTCCATGTTGAGCAAACTTTCAGAGGGTAGAAGGGGAAGCTTTCTCTTGGTCTCTACAATGACAAATTAAACAGATGAGAGCAGAAGTCTGGGAATGCGAGGACCTCGTCGATCATACCGTTATTTTCCCTGCTTTGGTTAGGAATACTGTCTCACTAGCGCAGAGAGATGGCGGTTTGTTCAGTTCAGAAAACTCACACGTGGGATCTGTATATCAGATCTGTGGGGCCCTCACTTCCTCAAACCAGTGAGTTTGCGGGTGAGGTGATTTCTCTTTTATTCACATATATAATCCAGACTCTCTAAAACATTTCCTTTTTCATTTTAGTGATTTCCAAGCTATCGCTTTAGTCAAATGAATTATTTCTGTTAAATTATAAACAATTACTTCTAGGATGAATCCCGACTGAAAGAGTAATCAGTAATTCTCTTCCTGTCTGTCCCCTATCAGATTTAGATAAAAATTCGGTGTTTTAAATTTCTGTAGGTTGCTTAGGAGACGTGGGAGAAGACGACGGGGAGAGGATGGAAGGGAATTCAGGTCATGCCGCTGCATTTACTCACGTGCGTCCTTATTCCCTTAGTCAACTCATTTCCATACATTTCTCCAGGATCTTGTTCAAGAAGATCTTCGGATGTTTTTCAGCCTACTCTAATTACTCCTCCTCTATGTTACTGCTCCTAACTGTACAGACTACCCTATCATGTGTTATTGCTTTTCCTTTTCTTTTTTTTCCCTTTTTGAGCTGGAGTCTCGCTCTGTAACCCAGGCTGGAGAGGAGACTGTGGTCTCAGCTCACAGCAACCTCCGTCTCCAAGGTTCAAGGGATCCTCTGCCTCAGGTTCCCAAGTAGCTGGAATTACAGCTGTGCTGCCACACTCGGCTAATTTTTATATTTTTAGTAGAGATGGGGTTTCACGACGTTAGCCAGGCTGGTCTCAAGCTCCTGACCTCAAGTGATCTGCTTTTCTCAGCCTCCCAAAGTTCCAGAATTGCAGGTATAAGCCACCATCCCTGGCCCATGAGTTCTCCTTTACAGTCTATTCATTATGTACATGTTTGTCTATAGGAGTCTGTTATACAGTTGGAAAGAGCCTTTCTCAGAGTTAGAGTTTGATCAGACAAATAAGCTATTTTAATATTTATAGTTTTGTCTAGTAAAGAAAAGTCTTCCATGAAAATCGCGGTTTAGGATGTCTTTGTTAGCTCTTAGTCAATACCACAAGTTGGTTCTGGAGCAAGTTCTGTCTTTTGCAGTATCATATTTCAGCTTTTCCTCCAGGAGCACACATAGAAGCTGCGTGGTGATCCAGTGGTAGCATCCTCACCTCCTGCATGGTAGACCCTGGTTCAATTCCTGGTGAAAGCAACAAATTTTGTGTTTCACTTCTCTATACTCTTTTTTTTTTTTTTAGACAGAGTCTTGCTTCATTGCCAGGTGCCAGGCTGGAGTGCAATGGCATAATCTCGGCTCACTGCAACCTCCACTTCCCAGGTTCAAGCAATTCTCCTGCCTCAGCCTTCTGAGTAACTGGGATTACAGGCACGCGCCACCATGCCCAGCTAATTTTTGTATTTTTAGTAGAGACGGGGTTTAACCATGTTGACCAGGCTGGTCTCAATCTCTTGACCTTGTGATCCGCCCGCCTCGGCCTCCCAAAGTGCTGGGATTACAGGCATGAGCCACCATGCCTGGCCCACTTCTCTATACTCTTCATACTTCTGTTCTGCAAAATTACACTACATGGGCTATCCTGTGTGTGGGGGCCTAGGCTGTGGAGGCTTTTGACTGATGACAATGGGAACCCAAGTGATAGCCAATGCCAGGAACATAAGATATTCAGGAAATGATCTAATGATCAAGTGACCTTACAGTTAGAGTCAAGAGCCCGTCCTGTAATCCCAGCACTTTGGGAGACCAAGGCGTATGTATCGCCTGAGGTCAGGAGTTCGAGACCAGCCTGGCCAACATGGTGAAACCCTGTCTCTACTAAAAATACAAAAATTGGCCAGGCCTGGTGGCTCATTCCTGGAGTCACTTAGCACAGTATATCTTTGAAAGTGGCAAGTGTTTCTGGGAGTTCACTGCAGTTCTGAATACTGGGATGTAAAACTCTTGTTACTTTCATCTATTCTCCAGGTAGATCCCTGGATTCCTAGCAATGTGTGTCCACATGTGTTGTCCTGATTTTTTTTTTTTTTTTTTTTGAGACGGAGCAGTGTAGCAGTGGCTTGATTGTGGCTTGTTGCAGGAGGAGCTGTGACAGAACCCCCCAGATACTGAAGTGAGGAAGGACGAGGCTTTTATTCAGCTAGCTGTGGAGCATCAGTTTGCTCGTGTCCAAAAGATGCTGAGCTCCCTGAAAAGCAGTTTCTCTCCCTTTTTAAAGACACGCAACTCAAGAGGAAGCAGAGGTAAGACTGCGTCATTGCCCACTGGCTGGAGATCTGACATTACAATCTTTGGCTTTCATTGATTTGCTAATTTACATGCGGTGTGGGAGGGGAAGAGTTACAGAAGTTGAACAAAGGCAGTAAATCACTTAGTGACAGAGGCATCTCTAAGCGGGTGGGTCTAGTTGGTGCAGACGGGGAGTACCTGACTCAGAGAAGGTCCTTGGGCAGTAAGAAGAACATTTGCAACACTTTCAAGGCTGGCAGATAGCAGAGTCACCAGATACAGAGAGAGGGGTTATTTTTCAGTCCTTGGGCCCCGCTGTGGTCAGGCCGGTGGGTCAGTGTCTCGCCTGACTACTGACCTTCACTTTGTGCTATTTTATCTCCCCTCCCCCTTTTCTAACAGAGGACAGGCAAGGGAGAGAGAGATGGTCTCCTCTCAGGCTCACCGCAACTCCTGCCTCTTGGGTTCAAGTCCTTACCTGGCAGTACTGTGTTGAAGCCATTGAAACTGTCCCTGTAAATTTTACAAAATGAATCAGGGAAGAAGGGAAGGGGAGAAGCAAAAATGAACCAGCTCGCAGCACATTCTGCATTACTCTCGAGGGCGGCCTTCGCTTGGACCTGCTCCCTCACAGTTGTTTGGCGCTCGTGGTGCTAGAATCAGGCAGAGCGTAGATTACGGTTCTCCTGAACTGTTCTGTAGATAAGAACCTGAGCATTACGATGTTCACGTTCCTGTTTGGGATGTTCTTTCAGATCCCGTGTACCAGTGAAACTGAAACTCCTGACGTCAGCTGGTCTGAAGGACCCCATTGAGGAACTGACTCAACGAAGAATAGTTTCCACATCCTAATGATTTCATCCCCCTTCCCCTGACCAATCAACAACCTTAATTTTCCCACCCCTCACCCTCCACAATCCCCTTAGGAGCCTTAATGCAGAAGTTCTTGAGGAGATGGATCTCAGGGTCTACTCCTGTCTCTTCCCCTGGCTGCCCTGTGATCATGAAACTCTTTGGTGCAAACTGCCGTCTCAGTGCATCGGTCTAACACTGCACAGAAGAACCCACTGGTCCTACAACACCAGAGCTGTTTTCTACTTTGTTTTAACTTTTTTGGGAATCTCTGTACTTGTTGAATAAACACCGTAATGCAATATGTAATTGCTTGTTTTTCTTAGTATTTTTTCTCTAAACAGGAATCAGGCTTTTGGGAGAACAATCTAGGAGACTTGATTTGTAAAAATGAAAATGACAGATTACTAATGAGGCACATCGAAAGGACCCATCAAGTGACAGAAAAATTAAACCAAGATGATCAAATTCAAACCATATCATAGTAAAATGATTAGATTTTAAAGGTAAAACATACTCAGGTCTCCAGGCATCACTGTGGAACAAGGTATAAAAGCAACTGAATTAGAGGGACACCGACATACAAGGCAAGGTAACAGTGAAGCAGCGTTTTCAAAAAACTTATATACAGGAAGTGCAGTGTGGCTGGGCCACCACAGCCCCCAGCAGGGGGGTAGGTGGGCACTAAAGCAGATCCAGAAGGAATTAACAGACTTGGCAGAGGGATCCTCCCGCCCAGTGTTCCATGGGGCCTGTGGGTGATAATTAGTGACTGTCCTTACCAAGGAGGAGTTTTCTTCCTGACCATCCACTTGCCTATGGATTCAAGCCCCCAAAGGTTGCTTTCACAGCCAGATTTTCTCACCCCAGTGTCAACAGTAATGACAGCATCTGCCGTGACAGCCTGTGGTCTCAGTGGTCTCCAGCATTGACTGTGTCAAAAGTTCTCTTGTCCATCTTCTCACTGCTCTGCACCCCCAACCTCGATGACCCTCTGGTGCCAGAGATAGCCCACACTTACCAGGCCGGCAGAAGTACAACCGACTAGCAGGAGAGTGGACGCAATAACATGCTATTTAAGTGCCTCCGAGGTTTTACGGGAGACATTGTCCAAGAGAAGCTAGCGGAGAGGTCTTCCCTTGAAATTCTGGGCTATGGGCTGAGCCATTCAAAGTGTCACCTGTTCTTCAAACAAACTGATACAGGAGTTAAAAAGGCAGGTAGGGTAAGGAAGTCCTCGGGAAGATTTCCCTTTTGATCAAAAGCGGCCCCAAATCATTTCTTTTCTAACAAAGAGCAGCCTATAAAATCAAGCTGCAGACACAGATAACCAAGCTTGCCCTGGTGAATGCCGGCGGCTGTGTCAATAGGGAAAGGCTACCTGGGGGGAGGCACTCACCATGGTGGCTGCATCTCCCCTTTTCCTTGCCGACCACATGGAGGGTAAGGAGCCGACCACATGCTGAGGGTCACTTAGAAACCCTACTGGTATCATAAGCAGGTTAGGGTGGGGTGGCCAGCTTCTTCCAGCCTATGTAAATGTAACACCTGGTCCCACCAATCTTTGGGCCTAGGTAAATCAGACACTGCCTCCTCAGGCCATCTACAAAACCCTGTGCCCTTCACCCCAAAACCAGAAGTCCTGCTGGGACACTCCACTCTGTCTCAGGAGAGGGAGCTATTCTCCTTTCTCTTTCTTTTGCCTGTTAAACCTTCAATCCTAAACCCACTTCTTGTGTGTCCAAGTCCTCAATTCCCTTGGTGTGAGGCAAGGAACCTTGGCTATTTACCCCAAACAACAATGCGACTCCAAATGTTGGTCACCCACTCTCTCCAGCAGCAGCGTGTTGGTGCCATTCTTAGCAATTACGGCTTTGACGATGCCACACATTTGGCGCCAAATCAGCAGCCACTGTTAGGATCTCCAGCCTTCCTGGTTACACTGGACTCTCTGCCCCAGCTGATCTGCTGGTGTTCTGGGGGCCAGGCCCTGCAGGTCTCTCTTACCCAGCCTCAAATGTGCCACTGCTCACAAACGTACCACATCAGATCCTTAGCCTGGCCCCTCGCCACATGCCCCTTGCCTTTTAGAGCTCAGTGCCATCCTGGGTGCCCAGGGCACAGCAGGGTTTTCTCACACTCCGTCTGCTGCACAGCCACAGCCTGAGGAGCCTCAGCTCATGCTGGAGGGAACTGGGAACAGTGTCACTGGGAAGTGAAGGCCTTGCCCTGTGGCTTCCACTAGTCTTCTGCATTGCCACATGCTGGCATTTCTCCCCTCACACCAAGAAGCGGCAAGTGGAAAATGTCAAGATAGAAAGCAAATAACACCCGATAAGAGATGACTATGTTTTCAGAATCAAGAGCAAAATCATGAAACCTCTGGAGGTTTGGGTTATGATTTTCCATTTGATGAGGATTTTTGCCACCCCTGTTCCTGCCACTAGGAGCCTACACGAAGTCCAAATGTGAGCCATTCACAGACTAGAACACAAGGAGGGAGAGAGGCTCCTTTAAATGTAAATAAACATGTAATGTATTCATTAAAAAAAGAGTGCAAATTAAGGATACTATATCCAACCAAGCTCCCTTCAAGGTTCAAGGTACAAGGGAATGGCTTTGCTTAAATGTCACATGGGCAAGGCTCAACTACACTGTGACTGAAACCCTGACCAGATGCACTCTGGACTGTGGTGACACAGGTCGTCTTGTGAAGCGTTATCATAAGACTATTTCTCACTCATCTCTCGTGGGGCCTCCTTGTCTCGCAGCAAGCTACCAGTAGACAGTTTCTCATCTGGTTCTGGTAAGCTGTAGAAATTTCCATCCTGCCCCGATCCCCTCAGGGTACAGCCATAGACTGTCACTGCCTGACTGCAACATAAAAGTGGCCCCTTCTTGACAGAGCAGCCCACCACTTGGGTTGTCATCTAGTAACCCCAGTTTGGTGTCATGCTGTGGAATTACAGATGTGGGCAGCGGACAGCATGCTAAGCTTTCTTACGCATAGATCTCCCCCATCACTGATGCTGTGTGCGTAAGTCCAGGTGTGAGCCATTCACAGCTTTGATGCCCAGCATGGGGCCGGTAAGGTCACAATGCTTTCTTGGAGAAAAGACAGAAAGAACCATGTGGGGCCAGGTTAGCAGTTTTGAGAAGGGCCTCCAGGATCTGGTAGCAGATGCTCTCCCACAAGTAGCAGGTGTGAGGGAGAGTGATGGTTCTCCTATATCCCATTTAGAGGCTGAGCATTGATGAGGGAGGGCTGAAAGCAGCCACCCAAATGGCATTTTTTGTTGTTTAAAGTTCATTGAAACTGAATGAACAGTTTGGGCACGGTGGCTCATGCTTGTAATCCCAACAGTTTGGAGGCTGAGGCAGGTGGATAACCTGTGGTCAGGGGTTCGAGATTAGCCTGGCCAACATGGTGAAACCTCGTCTCTATGAAAAATAGAAAAGTTAGCCAGGCATTGTGGTGGGAGCCTGTAATCTCAGCTACTTGGGAGACTGAGGTAGGAGAATTGCTTGAACCCATGCAGCAGAGGCTGCAGTGAGCTGAGTGCACCACTGCACTCCAGCCAGGGCGACTCCCTCTCAAAACAAAACAAAACAAACAAAAAAGCTGCAAAAAGCCGCCGAAAACCGAATGAACAGCCTTTTAAAACCAAAAGCAATTGCAGAGTGTGCTTCCTGCTGCGTGCCTGCTCCCTTTGTGCTGCTAATTCTTCTCTTCCCTCAGCCTGACTCGGATATATTAAGGAAAGAAGCCTTACTAGTGCTTTTTTTTTTTTTTTTTTTTTTTGAGACCGAGTTTCGCCGTTGTTACCCAAACTGAGTGCAATTGCACGATCTCGGCTCACCGCAACCTCCGCCTCCTGTGTTCAAGCAATTCTCCTGCCTCAGCCTCCCGAGTAGCTGGGATTACAGGCACGCACCACCATGCCAAGCTAATTTTTGTATTTTTAGTAGAGATGGGGTTTCACCTTGTTGACCAGGATGGTCTGGATCTCTTGAGCTCGTGATCCAGCCTCCCAAAGTGCTGGGATTATAGGCGTGAGCCACTGCACCCGGTCCCTAGTGCTTCTTAATGGCTGGTCACACCTCACTGCGCTCCGTGAGCTCTCATCAGTCAAGGAGGTAAGATGTTCTCCTGGCAGGTGCTGTTGTAACTAAAGCGTGTGTTTTAAACGTCTTGGTATGTGTTCCTGCAGAGTTCCTCTGTCAACTGACAGTTTGGGTAAAACTTTCAGTAAAGGTGGGGGGGGGGAGTTAACATTGTGAGTGAATCCTCCGAGCCAATTCAATGCAGAGTTGTGAAAATGTGTCACTGAGTTTGATGAGTTACATGCTTATCCAGTGAATGGTCTTAAATTGTTAGAGGAGATTCTTCTGTTCAGAGCACCGTCCTGAGAAAAAAGTGCTAATGGGGCAAAATCCCTTAACATTTGCCTCCAATAGATGGGTCAGAAAACAGCCTGAATGCCTGTAGCCTCTGAGGTCTAAGTTTCGCCTTATAAATAATGTCCTATTGGTTGGCAAGTCAGAATTTTACAACTCAACAGCTCTGACTGCAGTATTACAGGTCTCTGCTAGTGAGAGTGACTGATAACTGCCCCCAAATCAACAGGTTACCTGCCTGCCAGGTAAATCTTCTTGGGACTATGCCAATGAATTCACAACGTTCAATCCCTCTGGCAGCCAAAAGAAAGACATAAAACTGAAAACTACTGCCCATCACAACATAAAGGACTCTTTCTGATACAGGAGCCACCACCGCCTGCCAGGTCTGGAACTCCTGCTGAAGTTTGGGCTCTTTGTTTTGGGGAAAATATTGTTGCTCTACTAATTTCTGGCTTCCACACTTTTAAAAACAAGAAACCTATGTTATGTTTAAATCAGAAAAATACAGAAATAGTACCGAGTAATGATCTTCATTTCCTTGAAGCTGAACTCTACAAAATAAACAGTACCTAAAATGTGTTGTGTATAATTTCAGAAATGGTGGAATTAGAGTACTAACTGGTATTGTCTGGCCAGAGGACCAGAGAATTCCCAAGCCTCACTCTGCCGATAACCTAGGTTCTCTGGTGGATGTGCCGGTTACTGTACAAGATACATACACAGATGAAACTGACAAGGCAGAGACCATCACAGTTATGGCAGGGCTTGTACCACAGTCGGGCGAATCCCAGTAAACAGTATCAGAGGATAAGGCTCAGTTCAAGGCCTGAGGCTTTTTCTTCTGTCTAAGCATAAAGTAACCTTTACCAAACTTCTCCAAATGAATCGGATGG